GTGTTAATGACTCATGTAGCATCATTTTTATAAGCAACTTGTATTTTTATATACATATAGACACACATATGGTCAATTGGGTGTTAGGTACATGATCCTTAAAATAAGAAATGGTTAAAACACATGCAACGTATGGTTTCTCCACATTTTATTTTATCAATTTTTGCACATAAGTTGAGCTTCAAAAAAATCTCAATAATTCAAGGACCATGTGATCCACACGATACAAATTTTATTATTTTTGTTTTTAGGAAAAATTAAAATACAAAGACATGATAATTCATACACACAATTAACAATGAGCGAATAAGAAGAAATGCATTAAGAAATGAGTAAATTACACTTAGTCCCCTTCTAGTTAAAGGTTATTACACTTACTTCCCCAATAATTTTGATGATTACATTTTTTTTCCTTCTGACCCCTCTTACTGTTAATGACAATAGCTAAGTTGCTAACTGATAAGTTTTTAGCTTCATATGATAAGTATATCCTTCAAATTGCTATGAACACATTTTTGCCAATTATGTGCAAAAGGAAAAAACAATTATACTCCTAACTAAATAAAATTAAATTGACGAAAATGTCGTGAATTGAATTATAATTATCTTTTCGGATAAAAACATTCGTCTTCATAGTTCACGGTAATTTGAAGGGCATATTTATCATATGAAATTAAAAAATTTGTTACATTAGTGTTGATCATCTATCACCATTAGTGAAATTGGTGACAAAAATCGATTTGTTACATTCATGTGAATAAAAGGGAGTAAGTACAATTATCCAAAACATATAAGAGATAATGGTAATAAATAATTATGGGAGAGTATAATTTACCCTTATGAAAATTACCCGGCAAAAGTAAAGTATGTTTATGGAATTGATGTTTTCAATTATTATTTTTTCACTTAACTATAAAGTAGATGTGAACAAGAAGCCAAACCTTTTGATGCATTTGGAGCGTGATTGAAGACGAAAATGACCTTTATAGCAGGAATTGAACAAGTCAATAACAATAAATAAGTAAGAAACCGGGCAAAGACTTGTTAGCTAACTGGACCAATCAAACTTTTCCATTAATGGCTTCTCGTAAGGAAGATACCCGGAATAAATAAAAAAGCAGTTCAATATCACTATCATGACAAGCACCATCCAAGATATCTAGAAAATCATTTTATTTAAGGAAGGAAAAAAAAAAAAAAAAAAAATCCTAAAATTGTTTGATTCCGTTTGGTTCACGTGTTTGCTGAAGTAAAAGAGAAGAAAATCATTTTGTTTTCTTTAAATGCCATGTAAAACAAGAATCAAGGAAAATTATAGCGAAAATTATTAGTTTATTTCTTTATAATAATATATATATATATATTGGCATTGTTTAAAAAATGTATTTAAACATGACAAATTATATCAGGAACCAACTTTTGCCTTCTTTTCTCTTTCGCTTTCTTTTCATTTTCCTTCCCATTCACTGATTTATGATTCAAATAAAACTTTTTCTTAGTCGCATGGACCGCGTGAGGCATGGTGTAAACGTCACCCTCTAATTACATAATGGGCGTTGTTCTCCCGGAACCAAATCCTCTTTTGTTCACATTTGTGTATTGTATTTTGATATACAAATAATGACACTATTAAATTGAATATACAATAAAAATAAAAACATACTTGTTTATTGTATTTTGCTATAAAAATAAATTGAAATGCAATATTATATAACACTATTATATTAAATTGAATTAATATACCATAAAAACAAAAATGTATTACATTTTTTATTTAATGTCAGTGTCATTTTTCCATGCAATAAGTCAACATATTTTTATTTTTTATAAGCTGGTAGTATGGGTACTATGTGCTCGTAAATATTTTGACTTTTGCCTATATTCAATTTAAATTCAGATCACTAAGTCCAACAATAAAATAAATTAGTATTTAAACCAGTTTAGAAAAGTCAATTTTTTTTAATTTTTTTTTATAATAATACTAAGGGTTAATAATTAGACGAGAGGGAAACATTGTAAAGTTTGAACATGAACATTCAAACAAAAGAGCAACTCAATCCCTCACAAAACGCAAAACTTGCTAAAGTCAAGTTAGAATATTCCAAGTTATATCCCAAAAAAATAAAGAGCCAATGGTAATGAATAATTAAGAGAATGTGATATTTTAACAGGCAGACAAGTGGAGGTGGAAAACCACCTTTGAATAATTCTAGATGGGAGGTGGGGGAACTTTCTTTTCATCAATAATACGCATGGTCTTCTGCAATTTATATTAGTAGGGTCCACATTTAATAGGCAACTATACCAGTGCTTGGACAAAAAAAGAGAACCAATAATTATGATATTTTTCAAGTCTTTGTATTGAGTCGTCAATTGACAAACACATACGCAATGAATCGTCGAGCAAAGCTATGAAATTTATATTACATTTTTAGAAAAAGCTAACATCCAGCTAATGTTGTCAGATTGTTATACTTAATTAATCAATAATTAAAATTATTTCGTTCAATCCAAGAACAATGAGGATATCGTGCCTTCAATATATACTTTTTATATGTCCAATTCAAAATTTAAATTAGAAAAATATTGATTTTACATTCCAACTAAAATTGGTAAAGTGAAACAAAAAAAAAAAAAAAAAAAAAAAAGCCCTTGTTGCATAAAATGCAAAAAAAATCCACATTATTCATCAAGTGCATAAAAATTACTAATATTTGAAAATATGTAAACATTGCCGCCTAATATCTGTTGTTCACCGTTAATTTTGTTCAATTTTTTTTAATAAACCCCAAAATATTTTTAATATACCCTTAAAAATTCAAATCAATGTTTTTATTTTAAATTTGTTTTAAGTACATTTTAAATATTTCAGTTATCAAATTGACAAAATATCAGTATTTGCTCAATTTTAAAACTATATAAGGGCGTATTTGCACATTTTATATGTAAGATTATTTGTTTTTGACACTTTTTTCTTATTTTAATAAAAAAATTTAATATAAAAGCCAACATCCAAAAACAGACATCTGGTAAAAGTAATCTTAAAATTTAAATAACTACTAAAAAAGAATAATCATATTTGTTCAACCTCTCAAAAGAATTCAAGTCCAAGATTATTTTTTTGACACTTCATTCTTATTTTAATTAAAAGAAAAAAATTAATATAAAAGCCAACATCCAAAAATAGACATATAGTAAAAGTAACCTTAAAATTTAAATAACTACTAAAAAAGAATAATCATATTTGTTTAGCCTCTCAAAAGAATTCAAGTCCTCACAAGAGTAATAGCTTTCTTGCTAATTTAAACATAAAAAAGAAAATCTAAAATTTGTGTATATGTGTGTATGTATATATATACGTGTGCACATGTATAACCTCCAAAGTCCAACGTCGGTATAGCCGAGTAATTCCGGCGTGCGCGGTGCGAAGGTAAGAACAGCGAGTCAATAAACAGCCTCCCCTGAATGACACCTCTTGTGACTTTCACATGATGACGGAGTCAGCTGGGTGTGGTCTTTGACTCCACAATTCTCTAGGTTTAGGTAACCCTAACTTAGACAGGGGACATGTGGAAAATAGCAAGAGGAAATCCAAGTCAAGCTTAACGTTTGAGTCCCACTATTGGCCGCTTCAACCTCGTATTCTAAATTATAAATTCTAAATTTATTATGTGACCGTTTAGAGATCACAAACCAACTTTTAAACGTGTTGAAGAAAATCTTTATGGTCAAATTGTTCCAATCCAATGTTGTAGAAGTTTTTTGTTAACACCCCTTTGATTTCTCTTTTGTTTTTTTGCTTCATACTTTGCAACTCAAATGTGAACTATGTTGTAAATTATTCGATTTTTTTATTCATTATATTCAAATAATTAATCAGATTAAGATGGTTCAACTATATTATATATTACATGCTATGGGAATAATAACTTTTCTTATTATCTCTATTCATATTAAATTTGACCTTTTATTTTTTCTTCTTAAATTGGTGTACTTGGTCTTATATGCAAATGGCTGAAATCAGTGGTGGAGTCCGTTGTGTTGGTGAGGGTAAATGCTCTCACTGAATTTTATATTATTCTTATATTGTATAAATAAATTTTAATGATTATAAAATTGTCTCAATGAATTTCTAAAAAAAATGACAAAAGACTTGAGAAAAACTTTCAAATTCAAAAAAATAAAATTCCTCATTTTCTAACTCAGCCTAACATAATTTCCAAATTAAAAAAAAAAAAAAAAAAGACTCATATCTTTTCTCTTCCACAATTTTTATAAAACAAAATTCAGAACACATATGAAGTATGTTCCTAGCTCTGACACTGGCTAAAATCATTTGATTTTCTCAAATTTTATATCCCATTAGTGGTTGAACCAACGTATTCATTTTTAATTCTATCATTTTTTTTTTTAATCCCATATTCATCTCAATATTTGCATTTTCGTCTTACTCAACTGCCTAAAAATATATATAATAACTAACCTATAAAACTTTCCTTTCAATCCCCACAAATATATATATATATATATATTCTATTAAGGCGTTTCCTTTCCTTTTAAATTCTTTTTGGTTAAGGCCTTTTCTTTTCTTTTTTTAATTTCCTTTTTGGCTAACTCCAAGAAATGTAATGCCATTTTGGAGAAAGGACCATAGCCCTTATTTGTAAAAAAGAAGAAGAAAGAATTAAAGAATGTCAAATGAATAGTATTTTTTTTTGGTCTTAAATAAAAATGCCTCTTTTGATTTTGATTTTTTATTTTTTAAAGTGACTGTAACTTACAAATTGTGAGTTACAATTTTTCAAAAAAAAATATTTATTTTAAGACAATGGGTACTTCTGTAAAACTCTAATACACCCCCTGAACTCCAGAAGATTATGAGACGTAGAAAAGTTAATTAAATAAAAGACCAGTAGTGGACCCCACCACCACGTTAATGGGAGATTTTCAAATTTACTTTCGTTACAGATTGCGTGTGTTTGGCACCCCATTTCCGTCTCCTTTCCTCAACAAAACCTATCCTCTATAAATTCTCTCTCCCCTTGTCTTCCCCAAAACCCATCATACATTGTTTCTCTCTCTACTATTAGCATATGTCTCAGAGGCCCAGCGTTCCACACTCCTCATCTGTAGCCTTTGCCCTCCATTCTCATCTCCTGGTCTCCAGTGAGATGAACCCAAGCTCCAACTGGTCCTATTGTTGATTTTCAGGAACACCCACAACCGCTCCTCAGATTTTGTCTCCTTCTCCAATTCATTTTCTCGGCTAGGAATTAATCAGAATTTTTTCCGAGAAAATCTGACATGGGTGTCAAAGGATTTGTTGAAGGAGGCATAGCTTCGATCGTTGCGGGGTGTTCGACCCACCCACTTGATCTAATCAAGGTTCGCATGCAACTCCAGGGCGAGAACCATGCCCCGAATCCGAACGTCCAGATCCGGCCAGCCCTCGCCTTCCAGAACGCCTCTTCAGGCAACATCCGCGTTCCTCCGCCCCCTCCAGCCGCGCGTGTGGGCCCAGTCGCAGTCGGGATCCGGATCATCCAACAGGACGGCGCCGCCGCCCTCTTTTCCGGCGTGTCCGCCACCGTCCTCCGCCAGACCCTTTACTCCACCACCCGGATGGGCCTGTACGACATCCTGAAGCAAAAATGGACCGACCCGAACACAGGTAACATGCCCCTCGTGCGCAAGATAGGCGCCGGCCTCATCGCCGGCGCAATCGGCGCCGCTGTCGGCAACCCGGCCGACGTCGCCATGGTCCGCATGCAAGCCGACGGCCGACTCCCGCCGGCTCAACGCCGAAACTACAAGAGCGTAGTGGACGCCATATCACAGATGAGAAAGAGCGAGGGAATCACTAGCCTGTGGCGCGGATCATCGCTTACGGTGAACCGCGCAATGCTGGTGACAGCATCGCAGCTCGCATCGTACGATCAGATCAAGGAGACCATTCTTGACAAGGGACTGATGAAGGATGGGCTTGGGACCCACGTGACTGCAAGCTTCTCAGCAGGGTTCGTTGCTGCAGTAGCGTCAAATCCAGTGGATGTGATCAAGACACGTGTGATGAACATGAAGGTGGAGCCAGGAATGGCCCCACCTTACAGTGGAGCCATTGATTGCGCGATGAAGACCATTCGATCAGAAGGGCCCCTGGCCCTTTACAAGGGTTTCATCCCTACGATATCGAGACAGGGTCCATTTACAATCGTGCTCTTTGTTACACTGGAACAAGTCCGAAAGCTCCTCAAAGATTTCTAAATCAAGCGAGTTGCTATAAAATGATGATGACGACGAAGAAGATAAAAAAAAATAGTAATTTTAATAAGCAAGTGAAGTTGCATTGGTGTCAGAAATTAATTTTATTCTAATATATAAATTCCAGATGTTGTATTCGTGTTTATTTTGTTTTTGGTGTTAATAATGAGTCCATTTGTGGTGTGAATGTGCGATTAGGTTACATTTTAACATAATTACATCTTAAAATGAATAACTCATCAATATTATTATGGGCTGAATAAACGGATTGTTTCAGTCAGTATATTTTTGTTCGGTGAATAAAAATTAGAATGGTAAGAAATGGGTTTTGGGACCAATTGGTGATGAGGACAGCCCAATGTATTATAGTGTGAAGAGGGAATGCAAAAATGGGAATGCGGGAATCCAATTGAGGATGAAAGTAAAAGTAGTGGAAATGGAAATGACTAAATTTAAATTACACAGAAAAAGTGACTAAATTTAAATTACACAAATTGAGAATGAAAATGATTAAATTTAAATCAGAGAGGAAGGGTGAGACTAAATTTAAATCACGCAAACTCAGGATAAAAATAAAGTTGAGAGCATGAAAATTATTAAATCTAAACCAGAGAGAGTTGAAAATGCAAAAATGTGAGGAATGTGAAAACGATACCAGAATAAAAGAATTGTGTAAGTCGGATAAAAGCAAGTTTGGAGATATTTAATGTGGAAGCATTGAATCTATTTCACACTGACCTTGGGTGGCAGATAGACATGTTAGATTGTTAGGTTTGGAAGAATGCGTGTGGGGACAAAATTGGCTGTAGCTATGGCATCACGTAGTCCATGAAATCAATTATTAATTGGGTCAGGGACAGTGATAAGTGGGGCCCAAATTCTAGGAAATTTCTTAAAGAAGGATATGATAATTACCAGTTTTGTTGTGTGGTGTTTTTTTTTCCAACTTGTTGGAGGTGTAGATGGTGGAGAGTGATGCTCCTCCTTTGGAGCTGCCTTGATTCCAGCATAAACAGTTGGAATCGTTGGAAAAACTTCTAATGTTAAAAACTCATTGTTTAACTTTGTTTGGTAAAAAAAAAACACACTTTTTTAGAGATATAGAAATTGTGACGATTTCTTGAGATGCAAACTAATTAGAATATTGTATTTAAATTTTGCTATAATTTTTTCCCACTATATAATATAACCAGTCTAATTTTTCAACAATTAATACAGCTAGAGTAATGATAGAGGGAAAAAAAAAAAAACAGAAAGAAAAAGAGAAAGAAAAAGAAAGGGTAAAGTACAACAATATCTTCTGAGGTTTGTCAAAAGGACACTCACATGAAAGTTACTTGTTTTTGGGACAATGACATCCCTTTAAAGAAATTCCATCCAAACAAGACCTTAAATCATATGAAAAGATAAAATTGCTCCTAAATATTAAATTCAGATTTATTGCAAAATATCATACCTGTCAAAATGACGCAATTGCCCCTGAAAGTTTAGGGCCACAAATTAACGCCAGATTAACAACCAGTGAATTGCAAAATATCATACTCGTATTTTTTTTTACCAAAATTTTGTTCCTGTTTTATTTACTATATTATCTATTAATTTACAAAAAAAAAAATATGGGTTTTTTTTTTTTTTTTAACAAAAATTTCGTTGTTGTTTCTATACTAAAATGGGCTTTTTTTTTTTATTTTTTATTTTTTTTTTTTATGCGTTTTTCTAAATATGGGGTTTTCTTTATTTTCTTTACAAGAAAATTTTGTTCTCGTTTTCTTTACTAATATGTGGTTTTCTTTGTTCCTGTTCTTTTCTTTTTTTTAAATAAAATAAAAAAAATTGTTATTTTGAGAAATTGTTGCATAATGAAATTAATTAATTAATTTTTTAATTTTTTTTTTTGAACAAATGGGGGTTATCAATTTTGTTATTACCATAAAAACAGAATGAAAAATAACTAAATATCTAAAATAGCGAATCTAGTGTGGGTTACGCAGCGAAGTAATACCCAGTAGCATCAATTAGCTCTTGAAATACATCATTCAAGGTTGAATAACCCATCCATAATCTCTCACAATTTTTTTAAGGCAAAATTGAACAACATTAACAGATATAAGTAACACCCATAGACACCCTTTTAGATTGGTCAAACTTTCTTCTTTTTGTAAGAAATTGAAAATTTATTACAGCAAAATAAATATGCAATTTTGTTATTTTGAGAAATTGTGAGTTATCAATTTTGTTATTTTGAGAAATTGTGGAATAATGAAAACAAATGGTTTTTTTTTTTTAACCAAAAATTTTGTTATTAATTCACACATGGGTATTTTCGTAAAATTTATTAATTTGTTTCAGGGAAGTGTATATATATATATATAGTCTATATTACACACACACATATATATAGTCTATATTTCTAACATTGTGGCGGTTTGTTCATAAGGGATAGTTTTGTCCAATTTATTAACTTGTAAAAGTTAAAAAGGTCAACTAAATGGTCAAATAGCAATTTGGTCAATTTTTCATGCCAATTGGCTTCAAGGGATGCCTTTGTCCACTTTTTAATCTTCAAGGGATGTCATTGTCCCAAAAACAGGTAATTTTCTTGTCAGTGTCCTTTTGGCAAACTTCCGAGTTATTACTATACTTTACCAAAAAAAAAAAAAAAAAAAAAAAAAAAAAAAAAGGTGAAATGAGTGGAGGAGAAAAAAAAAAAAAAATGTTAGATAAGGATAGAAATAAGAGTTTATTTTTTTGGGCCAATTATATGAATTACATGCGAATGCAAAGATAAAAATTTACGATCCACTTTGAATATGGTCCAACAGTTTACTTGTTGGACTTTGGAGCTTAGCAAACTCAAAGTTTGGAGTTCGACTCCCGCTAGGTATTCTTTGTTGCTAGCCTCCGCTATTTCTGCAGTGACTTATCCCGTCTAGGTGGGGAGGCGCCCTTTCAGGTTCTCGGAAATTAGTCGACCTTAAAGGTTCGTACCATCCGAAATACCCCGAATTAATTATAAAAAAAAACTTACGGAATAAGTCCATAGTGTAATTAGAGTCGAGAAGTAGTCATGCTCACCACTTTTTTCTTTATAACTTTTATCTAATAAGGGTTTAAAAAAATTGAAAAAAAATCACGTGCTTACTCTTATGTGAGCTTCTCCCATTGGGATCAGATGCTCTCTGCATCAAAGGTATTAAATAATGTTGTTTTCTCTTCCTAAATTCTATTTAAATTATTGACAAGAACATGTTTAATAAGTCAAAAGATTTAGTTAACATGGCTATAACTCGCATAATATAATGGATCATGACACTGCAATTAGCATAATTCCATAATTTTATTTGATTTGGTTATCATGATTACTTTTTTTATTATTTCTTTGACAGTAATGATAATGGTTTTACAACTTTTTTTTGGGGACAATGGTGGGCATAATGAAAACTTCGTTGATTGTTGATTATTTCTTTGACTGTAATGGTAATGGTTTTACCTTAAACCTTTTCAAACTTTTCATTTTTATTATTATTATTTTTTCCTGACAAAACTAGCATTTAGGCTGGTAAAAGATGAGACACATGCACATGCACCAAACAATTATTGAAAATTTCTCTCGAATCAATTTTTCTTTTTAGTAACTTTAATTTCACTTTCCATCAAAGTAAGGAATAAATAAGAAAACACTTCTCCAATAATTAATTATCATAAAAGTAATTTATAAGTTGACCAAATAATATAATATTAATCTGATACCTATTTACTTAATCACTAATTAATGAAATATATTACATGTCCAAAACATATGGGCCACACAATTAATAAATAATCTTATAAATAATCTTACATTGCTGCTAACCATCATAAACAAAGTCTCAAAGATTTTTGAACTCCCAACTTTAAAAAATTGTACAATTATGCAAAATTCTTATCCAAACAAAACAAATATTCATTTCATCTCCACTGATTTATACCTAATTATGCTGAATTCTCATCCAAACAAAACAAATATCATTTTCTTCTCTACTGATTTATACGAGTAAGACAGCATACAACTTTTTTTTTTTAAGAAAAGCCCTGCCTCTCAGTAAGGCTAAACAATTATTACACCATTATATATAAATACAAAACCAATCAAAATTATATAAGTTATGGAAGCAACAAATTTCAATAATTAAACTTCTCATTACAACAAAAAGGAAAATCAAAGAACCAACACGAAGGCCACGTAATAACCTTGTCACAAGCCGTGTTGCTCTACCAGAACAAAATTGAGGGAACATTCTCTGTGAGTCTCTGCTGTCCAAATTTGCTATATCAATGTCTCCTTTGCTCAGACGTCCCACTTCCGAGAGCTGGAATTTCTATCGAATGTGGCAAAACCCGGTTGCTTGATTCTTTCTTTAATTGAGAAGTATGAAAAAATTGAAGTGCCTCTTCAGACTCTCCTATGTACAGATAATTACAGTTCTAGTAATAGTAATTGTTGTCCTTGTGGTTTGTGGCATCGTTACACAGCATGGAGCGCACTTGCATTATAGACCTGGGTGGCTCCAGGTCTTTCTCCTGTAGTGCATTTCCAAGTAGTTGTTGCATTTGTGATGCAAATGTGTCATCTATAATCTGCACATTCAGCATCACTCATGAAGGCAATCTTGGCGAAATAGTGCCATAATTATCAACAATGTTAACAAGATAATTTACATATATGGTTTAATAAATAAACTTTTGACAACAAAACAAATCCATGATACTCGAAGAAAAAAAATACTTAGTGATGATTGCTGTTATTAATGAGTAAAATAGTAACCCTCTCGAGAGGGAAAAAGAAAGATGTAAATAACTATTAAAACATATAATAGAATCTTGTACAGAAAGATGGTCTTTCCCAACAATACAAACAACATATCAAATTGCAGACAGTCGGCACAGTATTTGCTAGGATTAACCAGAGGACCTCTTTTGCTAAAGTTACCAATTAAAGATGATTGTTGTAATCAGGTTAAGTATAAGTTGAAGCCATTGCAGTCCAGTGGCTAAATGTTAACATAGCATCCTAAAGAGTCATTAGCCCGAAAAGAAAAGAAACGAAATCGAAGTAAATCTAGAGTCTTCGTAATCCCTCACGATTATATGTGAAGTGGACAAAGTATGCCAGTAAAAATGATCAGAGACACTCAGGTGTCTGTGTAGTGTCTGTGTCCCAGATCAAACACTAATTCCTAATTAGAACATAGTTTTATTTTGATATTCGGAAATTCAAAAACCGTGTCAAAATTTCATCTAGACATCATCACTGACTCAGAATCTCAAAATTATTGCAAGAAAATTGTATGGCATAGAAACATAAAACCTGGAAATGTAAGTGTCTCAAACACTCAGAATCATAAAACCTTGTTTAGGTTAAAATGCTTGTAAAAACAGGATTCAGTTTCTGGCAAAAGGTTAGGTTTTAAAGTGCAACTTACAGACACTGCAACTCTCGAGCTTTTATACCAGGTTCTGTTATCTTTCCTGTTCTCCAGAAACCTTAGCACATCCTGCAATGAGAAGAAAAAATCCATTCTAAGGTGAAGAAAACAAGGGAAACTTCGTAAACACTAAAACTGTAGCCTACCTGTCCCATCTGATCCCAGAAACCTCGACAGACAATTATAAACACATGAGTTTCAAAGACAGTATGGAGGTGATCGACTGTCTTTGCCAGTATATCCTTTAGAGGCTGCATTCTACTTCTTATATCTGATTCTACAGCACATTCTTTTGTGTCTTGGATTATCTTTTTCAATTTTGTTCCACTCTGCACCCTTGTCTGTATATACAAAGAAACCGTCATTTTTTAGTACTCCATCAACCACTTAAATTCTTGTTCAACTCATCAATATTCTATGCTATACAACAGAATGATTACAATTTTCAACAAATTAGTAAACCATTTACTAGCAAGTTCAAAAGGTTATATTGAAAGAAACGTAGAAAAGAAATTGCTACTTTCTGAAGGGTACCCACATTTTCTGCAAGTTTCTCCATGATTGCTTGCAGGTAGTTTCTGAATTTGGTCCTCAGCATCACTATTACTTCACTCAGAAGCTCACCTGGGACTGTGTTTCCACCATTGGCAATGCAAGAACCCCATGATTTCAACCGTGCTTCTACTTTTGGTAGCAGCACGTCAAGCATCCTTTTCATGGAATTCAAAAGAATTCCCAGCTGAAGAAATAGATGTAAGCTATTGCACTCTGTATAAAAAGAACATACAATTCTGCAGCAGTTACAGAAAAGAAGAATTGCTCACCTCATCAGGGACAGTATAATGGCATAGATTGGTTTTGGCAATTTTTTGGACATACTTTAGGCCAAATTTAATGGGTGCCAGATTTTCCTTCAACGGGGATAGAACTTCAGCATATTGCTTGTCCAAAGTTTCCACTACTGCCTTCTCAAAATCTACTAAAGCCTTTTGGTAGAGACAAACAAAAACACATATAAGATTCTTGAAAAGAAAATGGAGAAAAGTACACTAAAATATAGACATATGGAAGAAGCTTTACTGGATGGAAATCAGAGTTAAATGCATTGAGCCTTAAAGTTCTCCATCTCAAATGCAGAAGTGGAGGCACATTAGGATTAGTTGGGGAACTGCACTCACTCAATTTTTTTTTCTCTCTTCTTTTTTCCCTTTCTAATTATATATATATATATATATATATATATATATATATATATATATATAAAATTAGAAAGGGAAAAAAGAAGAGAGAAAAAAAAATTGAGATATATATATATATATTTGTTAAATGTGAACATAACATAAAGAGTGAAGAGGAAGAATCATAGATGTGTTCTTTCAGTCGATTTCTCAACCCTAAGTCGGAATGCAAGAAACTCTAAAAATGTACCCCTTTTTTCACCAATCTTGCCCTTTCGGCAAAATAGGAATTTCATTTTTTTAAAAGAAACAAAAAAAATAAAAAAAAATAATTTTGTTAATATCAGTATATTGGCTGTTTTGTGAATTAATTCATTCTTCAAAGAATTAAAAGTATAGAGTTATGCAATTTAATCGTATTATTTCATGCGTCAAATCAAATGAGGTTATCATGATGAAAACTCTTTGAAGATAATTATAAATGCATTGAATGGAACCATAATCTATCAATATTTAAGTGTCTATATTTATTATTTTGGTTCAAAAATTATTTATCTTATTATTGTTCAGGGTTACAGGCCCAAGAATAAATGCCTAGCTCCGTCACTGATCAAATGACTATTCCATTAGATGACCAAATTATGCCATTACTTAGGACATGGATAAAACTCCTGTATACCTCAACCTTTAAACTTTAGGCCTAAGAAATCACCTAGGTCTGTCTCACAATTTTATTTGAGCAATGTATCTGCCCATATTGCATTAGTAAAATGAACTACACTGAATAATTCAAATTTGAGTCAACCCAGAAATGTGAAAAAAAAGAAAAAGAAAAAGAAAAAAAAAAGGGGAACGAAGAGAATATAGTTGAACATACATTCTCCAAAAGGAAAGTATATTCTGGCCAGCGACAAATAATGAATTCAAATTCATTCAGTGCTTCCTTCAGCAGATTGTACGTATCATCAATAAAAGGAGTTGTGGAATACTTTGTTTTGATGCCGGACAACTTTACCTGGAAGCAAATCACTTCTAGTCAATTATTAACCAAAATTTAAGAAAGAAGCCAGTTCCAGAAGTTCCTTCCTGGTGAATACATTATATATTGTCTGTTTGCTTATTGCATATATACTAATCAAGAGGCACAGAAATCTACACCATAGCAAGCAGCTACATAATTGATTTCAATTGAATATAAAGCTGGCTAATCCATCATGTTGGAAATGAATTAAATAGTTAAAAGTAGAAAACATGGTGTAATTTAATCTCATTAATAGCACTAATAACATATTGATCTTCTTTAAGTTTTTATAAGCAAAAGAAAGGTATTACCATTATTCAAATAAATTTTTAATATATAAAAACTACAAAACTTAGTGTTTTCTACAGCATTTCTCAATGTCAAAAGAAACCACAAAATTAAAACTACCGTATCAAGCTTGCACGATTCAAGCAAAGCAAGACGCTTGTCTTGAATCCAGCGAACTATATGTAAGTGGAACAATTCTTTTGCATCAACTCCGCCTTTGATGGGGCTGTTAAAATTCACAGATCAGTGAAAATCAGACAATGGACTACATATCACAATTAGTATTATAGTGGAGCAAGAACAATCAATAGTCAATACCTAATATTCCAGTAAGCAAGATCCTTTTGGAAATCGGCTGTCGCAATAAGGAGTTCTGATACGGGAGGTGAGGGGCCAGCAGGAGGACATGCAACAAAGCATGCACGCAATCTACTGCAAAGCTCCGCGCTATATATTGATGAAGAAAGATTTGGAAGGTCGATGAAACTGGACAAAAATATAATTAGAACACCAATAATTAATAAGCATTAAAATCAATCATCAATGAATATGATTATTGATTAACAATACAAATTAAATAAGGCAAACATTTCATAACTGCCAACTAAGAATTATGCAGGGGAGGACATGCCTATAATCATTACCTTCATCTAGAATGGATTTACCTGTGCCAATACATGATTTTCTTTCAGTTTTTCTGGGAGTGGGTATTAAATTGTGAGGTCTAGGAGTAATATTACTTCACAATACAATTTTTCTGCCTTTTCGTTGGGATTGGTTCTTGTTTGTATCTCCTTATTCTACATTCTATCCAATTCCCATTTTGTAGCCGCTGTGCAGCTTCTTATTTACGTAGGAGCTATAAATATTTTAATCATATTTGCTGTGATGTTGATGAACGGTTCAAAATATTACACAGATTTTCATGTTTGGACCGTTGGGGATGGGGTTAACTTTAAACAATCAATCAATAAATTTGAACGGCAGAAAGTACACTAAAAAATTAAGAAAACCACATAATTAGAAGATATTACACACAAGTCTATAAAGAATAGGAGCATAATTAGAAGATATTACACACAAGTCGATAAAGAATAGGAGCATGTTCTCAAGGCCTCTATCTCGTTCATTAGCCCGCCATTTTGCTGTAATACTTTAGATATATACAATTTTATACATGGGCCTTCGCTGTAATAGAGGGAGAGAAAAAAAATTAGGAGGGAGGGGAATGATCACAGAACCATTTCAATGATTTTTTCCTCTATATGAACACAATAGTGACCAAAGGAGGGGGTGTGGGCCAAAAAACTTAGAGTGAATTATTCACTGTGCAATAGGAGTTTAGCATAAAGTAAAGGTAAATATATTCCTAAGGGGTTGAGATATCACATAATACCGAAACAAACATGAGTAAAGAAACAACAATGTTATCAAAGTAGAAGTTAAAACAGCTAGAAGATTTTATTTTCTTCAGTGAGGAGAACCCTTGGATATAAAATTTCTACAATAAAAACAGAGAGAGAGAGGGAGACAAAGAGAGAGAGAGAAAGAGAGAGAGAGAGGGTGAGTGAGTGAAAAAGATGAACAAACAATTGTATTAAAGCATGTAACTTATCAGCAATGAATTAAGCATTTGCCAAAGTTGTGGCAGTTTTAGCTGGTGTAAACAGTTACAAAATTAAACATAATAAAACAAGGAAATACTTCTACCTGGGGAGCAATTGCTGATTGTGGATTTCTATGTCTCTGGATATTTCGTTTTTAATACTTAAACAAAGAGATTTCATTTTCTGGTAGGCCGTAGAAAGAGTCACTGGATCCGTCAATATACTCTCATTATTGTTCGAAACAAATTCATCTGTTTCAGCCAAGTGCCTCCTGGACCTCTTTTTTGCAGCATTCTGGACAGCCATTGGCACTTCAGGATGTGAATTGCTAAAGACCAAAGGAAGCAGAATTATGTAGTATTGAAGCGTAAATACCTGAAAATATCCGCAGAGTTTCCTCTGTGCCTCGGAAGAAAGTATATCATGCAGAAGACTGTACAGCTTTAAAGCTGGTTCCAGAGCAGGAGCAGCCACTCCAGTTGCAGGCCTGAAAACATCCACCATTCCTGACGCTGATGATTCATCCAGTGACTTGTAATTCTCAAAAACCAAAGCAAGAATCTGCTCTAATCGATCAAAGACTTCTCCCAAGATGCGATTCTGGTCAGTGATCCATAATGCATTCACGATGTTAAAAAAAATGTTGAGATGTCTACATTAAGTACTGCTAAATTTAAAGAATTGAAAATAAAATGTAAATAAACAAGATGCTTCATAGTAAAATACTTCGGTAGGGTGGGGGAAAGAGAAGCAGATTCGTATTCAAAGTTAAAACTTTAAATAGTACAGGAAAGTTACTACCCAAAGACGGATAGAAAATGAGGCATACTTTTTTTTTTTGATAAGTAAGATTTCATGAAAGGCACTCAAGAGGGGAGTGCTACCGAAGAAAACACAAAACGCCAAAGGCGACAGCTAAAGCTTTAAGCTATCCACAAGAAAATGAGGCTTATTAGTAGTAATATAGACATAAAACCAGGGGTGAGGAGACATAAAAAAGTAATATACACACAAAAACAGGGGTGAGGAGACATAAAAAAGTAATATAGACACAAAAGCAGTAGGTGTTTGGGTGAGTTGGGTGTGTGCAATCTTGCATAGATAAATAACAACAACAAAAACATCAAACAAGGGGTGAACAAAAATAAGTTTGTTATGCATAAACTAGGTGGGTGCCTATCTTACATTCCAAAAGAAATAATATAAACATTAAACTACAGGTGAGCTGACATAAGTTTGTGATGCATAACTGCATGGATTTGAAACCTGAGAAGTTAAAACTGTTTTAAGCCAACTCACCATCGTAACTTTGTTAAATAAAATTGAGGTGTGTGCCTATCTCACATTCCAAAAGAAATTTTATAGACATTAAACTACAAAAAAGCTGACATGTTTGTGATGCATAACTGCATGGATTTGAAACCTGAGAAGTTAACTGTTTTAAGCCAACTCACTGTCGGAACTTTGTTAAATAAAATTGAGTCCATTCAATCATCAAACCACAATAAAAGAGGCCCAGTGACTGTTACTTCCATAAATAATAGTCCCCCCTAAACTGCACAAACCCATACCATAACTACTGAACCACTAAATAAGCACCTAACAGCAGAAACTAATATCAAAATGAACTCCCACCTCTTGATGACTCAATGTGTGCTTAAAATCACCTTTCATAACTACAGGTAATAGCAACTCATGAACCAAGAACAGACAATCTGCGGTTGGTGTAGCCACATCCATAACATATGAAAGATATCTGCAAGATAATGTAAACGACTCAACATTAAAGCTAAAAAATAAAAATAAATAAATAAAGGAAGGAAGGAAGAAAATTGTAGAGGATGGATCACAAGGATTCTGCAAGTCAAAAATGAGAAACCCACTCTACCACATCACAATACCTTAGCTTGGTGTATGCATCTGAAACTCCATAATAGGTTGCGAATTCATCCACCAACCACTTCCACGGACTGTGCAGCAACAGATTTCTTTGCTGAAAACACTGTACCTTCATTGCAACCTCCAAAACCATGTCATAAGCCAGAGTTTCTGCAACGGAACCACACTATTGAAGGAAAAAAGGGAACTATGTGAGTATCATATAGCCCACTTCTAAAGGCAGGATAATAATGTTGCTAATATTCCACAAACAAAGAGATATTGTCAACATGATGCCAATTGCAGGGTTCCTTCAGTGTTAATGGTAGTCAATTTCACTTGTAATTTTATCAAATTCTCCTTTAATAACTAAAAAATAGAGCTTACAATACTTGGAGTTTCACTATCATCAACATGAATATTATTGCATATATACCCAAACATAAGAAATTCCTTATAGAGCAGTAAATAAATATAACATGTAATCTGATTATCCCTTCAAAGAAAAAAAATCTCATACGTACTTTGAGATGACCATTCTCATCTGGACTAGTTGAATAGCTTATGTACAATTGCATTCTTCCAACAAGTTCATGCTCTGGCTCATGATATATGGACCACCAACGAAGCTTGTCACCCTGCATTCAACTAATACATGAACCTTCTGGCATAGATGTCTGCCTTCCCATGCCTAGCAGTCAATAACTGAGAACTAAAGAAAACATACCGGGTCATCAGCAATGGCAGCCACCTGAGCTATGACATGACCACAATACTTCCCCTTAGAATCATGGACTTCAATAATCAGATCATCTCCAATTCCATCTGGCAGGCTGTATGGCAGTAGCACATAAATGAAACCATCCACTCTGGCTGATGGGAAAGAAGTAACACTTAAGAATGAAAGCAAACATGAACGTACAATATATGGGTTTCAGGTCCAGGCTGCATTCGAATTTTCTCCTCTTCAGCCGAACTTTTCAATCTCAACAAACAAGAATATGTCTCTGGGAACAACAACCACAAATCATTTAAAAGAAAAGAAAAAACTGATGGCATCAAGAAAAAATTCGTAAAAAACTAATCATCTGGTCCATATGCAATAACTTAGACAATGAACTTTAATTGATTGAGCTCCCCCGTAGGCCCAAGTGACCAGACCATAGAGTATGAATACCAATTAAGCAAGATAGGACCAAAGTTGAGAATATGGTGACAGATCCAGAACATTTCCATAGTTTTCTTGTGTTTCTTATGCAAAAGATGGTTCCCCCGACTGATGACCTACTGAATAATAAATGGCTATGCCTGGCGACTAGACAGTCAACACCAATTACAATAAAGAGCAGTAAGTCTTGGATTAGAACCTTTGCCACCATCTAAAAAAGTTAACAAGGTGTAGGACTAGTGATATTTTCACAATATTTTCACAAGTAATTTCTAATCCTGTGTTTGCTGAAGCCTATGAGACAGTTTGGTCCATCTGAGACAAAAAGAGCCACCAGAAAATCCAGATGAACTGGCATGAATTCAATGGATTGTATTGTTCGTGACAGTGTACAAATTAATAATTGATGTTCTGGGTATGAGCTTAGATTTATTCATAACAAAACTCATTAAAATATAAAGCATGTACCTTGCACTACTTCGTAGGATGATGAACTATTGCGCAAACTAGTCACACCAACTTTTAGGAGCCCAGACACCTCTTTCATATACTGACTTCCAGCATGCATATATGCCAAACTTCGACGTGAAAAAGAGCCATTTGCAGGAATGCGAGTGGCAACACGAACTTTCTTTAAAGCTCCCCAACCAGAAGAGCAAGTTGATTTTATTTTGGAAATCTGAATCTGAAGTGATTCCGGTTTTAAAGATGGGAAACTGCAGGCTATGGGCGCATCTATCTCCATTTTCACTTTTCGCACTGCAGTACAACCACAATTTTGATAGATACCAAACCTCCACATACTAACTTAGTGCAAAAACAATTAAATTTGTGGTAGGAAAAACACAAAATTACCTTGCACTTTCATTTTGCCAAAGGTTTTCTTAGGTTTTAGAGTGGCTCCCTCACTGACTAAATCTGGAGATATTTTCCTTAATAATTCTTCTTCCGGTTGTAACAGTACTTGTTGCAATCTATAATTTAAGAAAGAAAAATGACTATAAAGACACTTCGCATAAAAGGAACAAATAACAAACTTCAATTCCGAAACATATGCCATAAAATAGAATAAGATCTAAACACAAACTATTTTCTTGCATAAACAGATAAAGATAATTTTAGAGAAAATATTGAATCCCAGAAACTATTAATCCCGTTATCATTTTTACATACTGCTCGCTACTAAAGTGAAATGCAATACCACAACTTATGCTACTCTTTATTTGTTAAGTTTCATGGATAATCTATAGCTGATCGATTGCTCCTGAAATTCTATGGAAACAGATCCCTCATGCAGAAATACTTTTCTTTTTAATAATTTATTACTCAAGTGATTAAAGCACATCATATTCTCTAGGAAATAATATGAAGCTGTACAAGCCAAAGGCCCAGAACAGGAGACTCCGAATCAAAAAATTCTATTTAATCCCTTCTACCTCTTATTTTCATAGCCTGATCTCAACTGTTAAAGTAATATTATAACATATTGATCAGAAAGCAACAAACCTGACCAGATAAGGAAAAGAAGGAGGGGGGGGAATAAACAAATTGACAACTTACTCACCCAAATGCATTACGCAACAGTGCACATTCGTTTTCTAAGAAGATGGGAGCATCCATGCAACCCCTGGCCCATGAGTGAAGACATAGCCGAACACATGCATCATAAGAAATCACAGCACACCAAGGACCTAATCCACTGAATCCAGTTCATACAAGGAAGAAGACAATAACATAAAAACAAAATACAAATCAATAAAAAGATCATTCAATCAAATCAAATGCATCAGAGGGCATTAGTCTGTCATACGCAATGATTCAAGAACCATCCAACCAACAAGTACTCGATTCTTATTCATTTACCTCGCATGAAATGTGGGAGAGCAAGTTGGAACAGGGCTGTTAGATGTAGCAGCTCCAACACCAGCAGTCCTGTTAAGCATACTCAGGCACATCAATTATACAAAATTCCTCAATACAGTGATAATGAAAAACCCAAAACATGCACTATATGCAAAATACCTTACAGATGAGGTACTATGATGTGCAGAAGCTCCTGAGGGCACACTTATGGTTGCAGTAGGTTCATCTGTAGTTGTCAAACCATTTGAACTTACAGAGGAAGGTGCACTCTCTGCTCTGCCATATAAAAGTTTCTCAGGAACTTGATCAATTTCCTGTGCGGAACCAGTAATCCAGTTGAGTTCAGCACGAGGGAATATAATTTAAACAATAAAATGACCATCTCTGGACATAAACATCAACAAAATATTTTTCTTTATCTTGCTCTCATTTCAGACAGACAGACAGACAGACACAGAGAGAGAGAGAGCATCTCTATATAGTCTGCATTTTGGGTGGAAAAACATAGGATAATAAACCAAAATTGATGTTTATTGTTTACACATTAACTTTAGGCAGTTAGTAATACAAGCCAATTTCTCTTCCAACTTGCATTGATGCAATGAATAGAATAGCTATAATTACCATTGGATTTGATCAAGCCATAATTCACCCAGCAAGACAGTCTTTTAATTGAATTTCCATCCACGACGGCATTTCATTAATTTCAGTGTTACAAGTTACGCCCATGCAAGTGTTGTACATGCACACAGTCTAAGTGGGGCACTAAGCATTGTATGTTGGGAAGAAAAGGTAGCATTACAGATTGGCTTAAGTTCTCACTTATGAATTCCCTCAAGATACTCAGCAAAACACAGTTCCAAAATCAAGAACCCCAAAAGGTACACAAAAGCATTCATTTCATCTCCAACATTCCAATATAAAAGAACAGAATTAGCTATCTTCCCATTTATGCAAGACAAGAAAAATAATGGAGAATTTTGACCTACTTTAGCTCTATATTTCCTCATTCAGATAACTGGCTAGAAACAGTTGTCTTTCAGTTATCGTTCTCAACACGGAACTAGCATATACTAACATTCCATGACAACAGGTAAAAGACATCAAGTGAAAATTACAGACATCATTTGATGAATCTTACATTAAACACTCGTAAATCACGTATACAATCTTTCTTTGTTTTGCAAATAATATATGCAATGTTAAAGTATCCATTAAATGCTCTTAATTGGCCTACATAAAAATCCAAATAAAAACAAGTTTTGATATAATAATTAACCATCGTACATAATTGCAGTCTATCTTTAGTATGCTTTATTAACATGTTAATGTTGATGTTACATTGACTCGGATTTACCAAATCTTCAAACTAAATGTCAAGGAAATATGGCTAGATATTCATATTATTTAATATTTTTATTTAATTCTAAAGTAATATAGTGTTTCCACTCGTTTTAGAGCAATAATGTAACAAACATAACATAATAAGAGAGTTTAATGTACAACTATACAATAAGCTCGAAATGTTGTAGATCCATGTCCGGACTGATAGATACATGTCTTGTAACATCAATATTCCAAAACAAGAAATAAAGATTTAATTTCAGAACCTGTTTGGGAGCTGTCTTCACATTAGTATATGCTCCCTGGTAATGTACACTGCCACTGTTACTCCTAAAAGGAGTAAAGACAACTTCAAAATTAGCCATTGAATCGGAGAATTCATAATCTGTAATATCAGTTTGTACAACTGGATATACCTGTTATGCCCTTTTTCCCGGTGAATTGCATCCCTAGACCAACTGAATTCAGAGTGAACCGAGGCATTGGCATTATTACCATGCCTGCCCAATGAATTCTGTGCGCCATAAACCTCATCATCAGAATCACTACATACGTCCATGTCCGATCCTGACCCATTATCATTGCTGCTGACGGGTACAGCCCGTGCCACCGGAATAACCTTAGATGGCAAGTGCCCACTCTGGAACTTGGCCGCAGATGGCAATTTGAATCCTTGGCCGTGATTTCTCAGGCCAACAAGAGGATCAGATCGCAATCTTTGAGTCGACATTGAATAAAGACTCTCTCTCTTATCTTGGATTTAATCACTTCCTCTCAATATATTTCAACTCTAAAAGTTATCAATAGATTCATACTAAACTTTAAAAAAAAAAAATCCAAGAACCAAAACACAAAGTGATGCTCAGTCAATAGGCTCACCAGTCAAACTTATTTAAGGATGTTAATGAACATTAGGGTTTTGCTTTCACCTAAACCATCAAAACAGAGAGTGAAAAAACGCTATCAATAACACTACTTTTACAGTGCGAAGAAAGAAAAGCAACACAGAACATACAGTTTCTTCTCTGAGAAATCAATTGAAGGAAAAGAAAATAAAACTCGGATTCGATATTGGGTTGGCTTTAGAGTTTGTGAAGTTGTGAAGTTCCCAATTTTCTTTCCTTTTTTTTCTGTTCTTTTCAAGTTTCACAGCAACCATTAACCGAGAGTATATATAGTAACGAAAAGATTCAATGTATCACAAAACTCACATAGGCACAGTTCCAAATATAGAAAGTAGAGAGAGTAAAACAATTACCGAGAATGAGAAGGAAGAGAGTATAAGTTGAAGAGATCGCTATAACTCTTGAGTGTTTCTCTCTCTTTCTCTGCAAATTTAATGGCTTTTTTTCTTCTCTCTATATATTTTCTCTCTCTAAACCCATCCTGTTTTATGATCGTCACTTCTCTTTCCCTTTATATATTTCAAATATCTTTAATATCAAAAAAATTAATTTATTTAATTTTTAGTTTCTTATTAAAAATAGAGTTTAAGGTTTTTGATCATTTCGAAACAAAAAAATGATACGTACGGTAACGGCGGATTTCAGAAAGAAACGGAGACGTGCTTTTAACGTGAAGCTGACGTGGCTAGCGGATATTTGTCTTTTATAACGGTCGATCTTTTTAATGGCGCTTCTCTGGGGATTTGGTGCACACATATTCTGTGCCTTCAAGTTTTCTACGGTGGCTATGTCATTCATTCGACATGGTATTATTATTAATCAAATAAGTCATTTATACTAGGTTTGTTAGCATTGGATTGGGGGCTTTTGTTATTGAAGTGGAAGATATTTAATTTATAATTAATTTTTTTTTATTTTAATTTTAAGGTTTCAATTCGTAACATTAGTATATAATGATGTGACTGAATTCTATGTTATAGAAAGTTAAAAGATCAAATACAAAACATAAAGAAATCTATGGGACTGTTCAAGAAGTGTTTTGATAATGATATTTAAATTTGGACTTATATAATGTTGGGAGCGAGGATATTGATTTGGAATAGTTGTCTATATTTCTTTGGGTAAATCAAAAAAAAAAAAAAAAAAAAGATTATTTATTTTTAGATCCCCCATCAATATCATTCATTCAACCTCACATAATATATGGTTGATTCGTTAATTGAATGAAAAATATGGAGGAGAAAGGAAATATGCTGATGTGGATGTATAAAAAGGTTATATAAAATATACAACAATTTTACACATTGGTAACGTGATAGTATATTTCAAACAGAGTGCTGGGCATAAAAAAAAGTTACACATCATACCGTGTTTGATAACCTTATTTTTATTTTTAAATTGAGTAATGATCGATATGGCGAGAGAGCTCTTTAAATCACACTATTCCAATTTTTAGGGATTTGGAAGAGATAATTAATTAAGAAAGAATCATTTGCAATAAGAAAATAAATATCTCTCTTTATCCCTCTTGGTTAACAAATCAAATATTACAAGCCATTAGTGTTGATAGCATTCCACTCCGTCCTTCATATGCATCATAATTTCTTCTTCATCAAGAGATAATGGAAACTACTCAATCTGTTTAAGGGTCTTTTGATTCATAACTTAGAGAAAATCAAACCTTCCAGAAAACAAAGCCTTACCTATCTTCGGCAACCGGATTGATGGCATAGAGAGAAAAACCAAAGATATAATGCAGGAGAAAGACAGATCCTTTGAGAGTTAACTAAGAGAGAAAGAGACAGATTGGTTGAGGGTGTTAACTAAGAGAAAGAAAGTGAGAACGTGGAATGAAGAGAGAGAAAAAAAAAAAAAAAAAAATTTATTTCCTTATTGTAAAGGATTATTTCTCAATTAATTTTCTCTCCCAAATCTCTAAAAATAGAAATCATGTGGCTTATAAGCGGGAGTTCTTTAAACTTTTTGCGAGAGCAAAAAAGTTGTTTTCACTTGTTCCCACTGAAAACACGGAAACACATATTCTTATTTATGGGCATGTAGGGCTGCAACTTGGGCTGGGCGGGCTTGGCACTCATCTCGGGCTAGGCCTATATAAAAAATCTTTAGCCCAAACCCAGCTCGAGCCAAGCTGCCCAAGTCCGCACTGAACCCATCTCAGAAGAATTTATGTGTAAAAAATAAATCAATTAATGTTATACCCATGACTTAAACCTAAAACCTTAAGTATAAATCATAAGCACACTTCCAACTTGGTTACCACACCTTGTAACTTAATATAATTATAAATATATATAATATTTTCGGGCTCGGGTTGGGTTTCGGACTTCATCCATATCAACCCAAGCCCAACCCGAATTGAATTCGGGCTCAAAATATATAACCCAGACCCAAACCGAAATTAGAAAAACATTGTCTAAGTTTATAAAAAATCGAGTTGTGCTTAGGTTATTTCGGATTGGGCCTGCTCGAGTTGTAGCCTTAGGCATAATAGACGTATTCGTTTATATCTCTCTCCTTACTCTATTCTCTCTCCTCTCAAGCTGATCTAGAAATTGTCAGGGGGTAAAATTAAACATAAATTTAATAATACAATTTGAGTAGGCTAATACTAATATATATATATATATATATATATATATATATATATATATTTGGGTTAAAATTACCCATAATAATACTTTCTTTTTCTGTTTTTTTTTTCTTTTTCTTTTTTTTTGGGGGGGGGGCGGGGGCGCTCCAGCCTAGCCCTCCCCTGGATATGCATTCTCACTCTAGATATGCATTCTCACTCTATTCTCTTCGTAGTCTCTGTAACAAAAGACAACCCATACATGATAGAATACCATATGTCCTGCATATTGAAATTGCAAAAACTTATAAAGACAACAAAATCACAATCTGCTTTGATTCTCAGGAATTGTTACTCCTTTTAATCTCGATGTGTGTGTGTGTGTATACATAGGTACACATACGTAGAGGAATTGATGGTTATGTTTCTTGGAAGCATGTAAATATGGGTTTCTTTTTAAATTGGTTCAACTTCATTATTTTGCTTTATTTTCATCATTCATTACTCAACTCAATTACCAACTACCAATTCAAGAAACCCTAGCAGAAAACTCAATTGTTATTATATGTGAAGAATATATTAATTAATGGGATTAATATATTTTTATACGAATAATTTTTATTTTTATTTTTATTTTTTTTTGTGCTAAAAACTTACCAAACATGTTTCTGGTTTACCGTTTATAAAATTCAAGAAATAAATAAATGTTATCAAACACTTAACTGTTTTTAAAAAACTGCCAACGAAATATGAACACTTAGAAATTGAAATAGAAAATAAGAAATACATAAACGTAAACTTACCAAACATGAAGTTAATTATTTAAATTATTCAACCATGTAGATTGTTGAGGAAATTAGGGTTCTTATTTAAGAGAAAGATGACTCCAAAAAAAATTTAAATAACTTTAAGTGAATTATATATTTATTTAATTATTCACAAATAAAAATTGGTTAAAAAAATTAGGGTTCTTATAGAAGAGAAATAGTTAACCCCTAAAACATCTATCAAAAAGTTTTATTTGCATTTAGATTTTATCATAAATAATTTTTTCTTATGTTTTCTCTCAATCATACTATGTAGTCTCTGAACAAAATCACTTTCGGAATACACAAAGTTAAGTTGTTATATCATTCTTGATCCAAAGTGGAGACAGGTATGTTCGTTATACCCTTCATGACTCGTTTAGGCACCATAAAATTGCCACGTCATCTATCATGTAATTCAAATTATTTTTGTGACACAATAATTTGTGATGTTTAAAATTTTTCAACTGATAAAAATAAACATCGTTCACATAGCAATTACTGAACTAAACCAATTTCATTATGTGGTATCAAATTTAAATCAAATAACTTTTTTCTACAAATCGGATCATATCCAAAATAATAATAATAATAATTATATTTATAATAATAATAATTAAAAAAAATAAAGCACGCAAATAATACAATGAAATTGAAAAATCAAAACAATACAAATATATATATATTCATCAAAAAGAGATATGGAGAAAGTTTGTTATTTTTGGAAAAATAAAAGGTGGGACCATATAATGAAAATTTTCTCCAATCCTTTGACTATTGAGTGGGAAGAGGGAACTGAGAATATTAGTTTGGGCCACCTTTCATCGTGACTTTCAAACCTAACTGGACCCTTGCTGTATCCCAGTGCTTCACCACTTTAGTACCAATATATATATATATATATATTCTTTGATGCATGCCTTGGTGACTAAGAAAGTGGAAACTAAAGAAATAATAATATACTAAAGAAAGTTCATAAATTAGACGCTTGAAGCATCCACTTTAGTAATCCACACTTTTAGTAGGACTATCATTTCATGCAATATGCAAACAACATTAACCATCATCCAAACCAGTACTCCTAAATATACAGTTCTTTTAAAAAATAATAATAATAATAAAAACCCTTGAGCTTAGTAAATCCAAAACCATCAAGATGAAAAGCATAATGAAAAATAATACGAGGATGTTTTATATGGGTGAGTAAAAATTTTATCCACACTAAACATGAATGTATGTTTTTTTTTTCTTTTTGGTAATTACCTTTTGTATGTTCGAATCATATTCAATGGTCGATATGTTTGGTGTGAAGAATTAGGTCACAAAATCTTTCTTAAGGAATGTCGTTCTCATGCCGCCTCCTACTCTCATGCTCCACGTACACTTTTACTCCTTTTTCACTATTTGTGACTTAATTTGCCCGTTCTCCTCTTGAATTCACTTTTGCTCCAACTTAACTAGAGAGAGTTTTTTTTATCATGAATTATGTTTTTTTTATTTATTATGTGATAATTATGTCAGTTACTTTTATATTTTTATATTATTTTAGCGATAAAAAAATTTAATTTTGTAAGTAAACTAAGACGAGATAAGATTACTAATTTATCAATACGACAGGATTAACCCATTTGGCTATCTAGAGTGAAATCTAAGTCAAAGTATATGGAGTAAAGGAGGGCTTTGAATGAAGAGATTTGATCTCTCGGTATAATCTAAGCCAATGATTCAAAATAACGAAAGAGAAACACATCATAACTTAGTCCCATAATCTTTTCTTTTATTACTTTTAACATTGTCATGACATAAAAAAAATAAAAAAAAAATTATTTGACATGACCAGAAAGGAAATAAAAAAGAGAAGAAAATTCAAGAAATGAGTATATCATGTCGGTGTCATCTCGTTTAGAATTTACTTTTCAGTTTTCTTACTTTGGCGATTTTATTTTTTATATATATATATATATTTGTAAGATTAAGTCCTGTCTTTTTCTGATATCATTATTTTTGGTTTCCACCTTTATGATCAAGATAAAAATTACTATAAATACAAGATATTGAAATTGTTTTATGATGAAGTCTTGAAAGAAATTG